GCAAAACATGAAAAGAGATCTGCTTCAATCTGTTCTTAAAAAATTCTTTTGAACACAATTTATTTGGGACTTTTTGTAGTTGCTTATTCAATACATTAATTTGTGATTCAAAAGTAAGAGTATAAATTGAATTGCCAGTCATTGAATTTATTTGAATCTTAAGTTTTAAATGTGTTCCATTCCTGAAAATGAAAATAATTAAGATATTTAATTCTTTTATGATATATTCACTTTACAAGTTATTATTCAATACTAATAGAAATATATTACTAGAAATTCTGTAGTACAAAATTTGGATATAAATAATTGAAATCTAGGTTCTCTAATGAATTAAAAAGGGAGAAGTGATTATGAACAAGTAGGAAAATGTTAATACCAAGAAAAATGCATATATACATAATACATATACGATTAATTCTCCCATCCACCTTCTGGATTTGTTATTGAATTTACGTTGTTGTTTTTTTGTTTTGGTTTTGGGACAGTTTAAGTTTAGGTGTTTTGCTTAGAAGAAAGTTGAAGTGAAGTCAGTTGAAAGAATTTTTTTAAATTCCTTCTTTAGCTAAGTTTTTTTCCTAACTATGCAGCTAACATTTCTTGATCATTTGTTTTGGGCCAGACAGCTAGTCATCACAATCATAAAGGTAAAATTTCCACTTTACAGAGGAAGAAATTGAAGGTCAAACAGATAAAATTGTTCTGTCTTCATATCTCTTGTAAGTGGTAAAGCTGCCACTCACCCATATTTACTCTAGAGCTCGAGCTGTTCACCACTATCTGGGACCACGTACTTACTTCATTGTATATTTTTATTATGGAAAGAGGAATCCTTTGAAACTAGAACAAAATAGTGCCTTTTCTACAATTCACCTTTTAAGATATGGAACCAGTTCTATTATAATGTGCTTTTCTTTGTAACTGCATTTACACTGTTATTTTATTCTTATTGAACAATGTTTCCCATTTATTTACATTTTCATTTCAAAAATGTATTGCAATAGAAAAGAAAGTCTAATAAATGTCACATTAGGATCCTAACTTAAGAAACATTTTATTTTTGTCATTGAATTCTTTCTCTATATTTCTACTTATTATTTTATTTGGTAAAACAAACTATCAGTTCTTAAAATTTTTAAATTACTATATCATATTAATTTTCATTATATCAGTGAGTCTTCTAGATTGACTTTCTGGGACTGAAATATTTATATAATTAGATTCCCCATATCATTGTTCATTGAAAAATCAGATAATGTTAATCAAGAGCCTATTTTAAATTACAATAATTGTACCAATATTTCCCAAAATAGTCATGACATTTTGAAAGCTTTTTAAGCATATTTCAGAGTCCTTGTAAATTTTGAAGTAAAATGCAAGGTCGTCAAAGTTAAATATTTTCATTATATTGCTCTGAGTCTGTGGGATTTATTTTCTTTTTTTTTTACCTCATTCAGTAATGTAATCCAAATTAGAAATCATATGACATGACAAGAAAATCACATCAGCTTGTCAAGGCTAGGTATTATCTACCTACTTTTGTGGACTTCTCGGTATTAGTAATAATTCTGTAGTTTTATTTATTCTGGATGGGATTTTTAAAAAAATTTTACTAGCAAATTTTCCATGTTGGACATTATTACCTAGGAATTAAGAAATTATGATCATTTCACTTTATTGATCTGAATTACCCAAGTTAGTTTCCTAATTGAGCTTAGTCCCTTCCCTGTTTTCATGAAATTGTAGAAAAGCCGATGACCAAAAGTTCATTCATTTTTTGTCATGTATCAGTGTTTCTATTCTATTTTATGACTGAATTATATGCCATATGGATAGAACACCATTTTGTTTATCCATTTTTTTTAGTTGATAAATATTGGGATTGTTTTCACCTTTTGACTGTTGTTAATAAGTTGCTATGAACATTTAAGCAGAACATTTTGTCTGAATGTGTTTCCTTTCTATTGGGCATATACCTAGTGGAACTGCTGGCTCATAATGCTTAATTGTTTAAAAAAAATCTCAATTATTTCCTGCATTTACGTTTCCATCAGCAATAGTTGAGTTCCAGTTTCTCTTCATGCTCATCAGTACTTGTTTTCTTTTTTTAAAAATATTTCTAGTAGATATGAAAGTGGTTTTAATTTCCATTTCCATATGATTAATGATTTTGAGTATCACCAGTTTTCATGTGCTTGTTGGCTCTTTGTGTATCTTCTTTTCAGAAATGTCTATTCAAATTCTTTGTGCCCTTTTTAGAATGGATAGTTTGTCATTTTCTTATTGAGTTATGATTTATTTTATATCCTAAATAGTAGACCCTTATGTGTTATATAATTTGCAAATATTTTTGTAGGTTGTATTTTCGCTTTCTTCATAGTGTCCTTTAAAACAAAATGTTTTTAATTTGATGTAGTCCAGTTTATCTTTTTCTTTAGTTCTGATTGCCTTTAGTGTCAGTACCAAAGAATATGTTTTTTTCAGGTCAAGATTTTACCTGTGTCCTAAGAATTTTATAGTTTTAGTTATTTTATTTAGATCTTTAGTTCATTTTGAGTTAATATTTGTATACTGTTTTAAATAGAGAACCAAATTCATTCTTTTATATCCAGTTGTCTAGCACAATTTGTTGAAGAGTGTTCTTCCCCTTGACACTCTGGAACCTTAATTGACCATAGGGTTTATTTCTGAGTTTCCAGTCCTATTTCATTGGTCTCTATGCTTATTTTTACTAAGGATCTCTGTAGTTTTATTGTAAGGTTTGAAATTGGAAAGCATAAGTTAGTCCTCCAACTTCATGAAGATTGTTTTGCCTATTTGGGCAATATTTAGTCATCATTTATTGAAGATGTTGAATTCATTAATTGAAGGTAGTGTTTTCATTACAGTTGTGTCAATTTAAAAACTCCTATACTAGGAGGTAGATGTAAGGTTTTTACAAAAGAGAACTATGATGCCTTCAACCTTTACTAGCAGAACCTCAGTGACCATGTATTAGAGTTATAGAGAAAAATCATGCCAGTGGTTGACTATGTGTTATCCCAAAAAGAAAAATCATGTTGGATAGTTTGAAGAAAGACTTTAAAGAAAGTGATTCCTTAAAGATTTAAGTTTCTTGCTTAGCAGTAATCTTTAACAATTGCTACGTGTTCCCAGTTAAAATATGTGGGGGTAGGGTGCAGAATTTGAGGTGGTAGGAAATCTAAAAACCACTGCTCTAGAGCATTTTATTTTTATTTTTTATTATTATTTTTTCTTTTTTAGTTGTTGGTGGACCTTTATTTTATTTATTTGTATGTGGTGCTGAGAATCGAACCCATTTCCTTCACGCATGCTAGGGAAGCGCGTTACCACTGAGCCACAATCCCAGCCCTAGAGCATATTCTTTATTGCTATTAAATGCTTTGCTTGCCTAGTAAGGGTCTCTGAGCATTTGAATATGCACATATTAGTAAAATTCAGTTATACCAACATCATAGATATTAGTTTTTAATAAACTGAACTTTAGAAGTGTTTCTACTTTTGAGTCATTGCTCAAACTAGTTACATAGAACAATTAACTTTGGAAACTGTTTTTTGTTTACCTTCATTTTGTGAGCATTAATTTAAAAGTTTCCTGAGTCATTACTAATTTTTTTTACATTGAGTGATATTTCTATTTTATAAATTAGGTTTCTGTTCCCTGTCCATGCATATTTAAGGAATTCTCTTTTTTAAGGGGGCAAAGCATTTAAGTACCTATTTTATCATATTGTAGGTAATATAAATAGGTAGATTAGCCTTTAGTGTCATATGGAAGAATCTTAAACTAACTGTAGTTGAGAAAGGAAAGACTGAGTGGAGAGAGTAAATAACAACTCCCATGGAGCAAAACAGGGAACAGTCAAGAAGTGTCTGGGTCTTCTGTAGCCTCAGATAAAGGCAAAGGGGTTGTTATTTGAAGAGTGTATCACCTTCATACTCTGCCACATATCTTGTGATACTGGAGTTATTAGTATGAGGTGCTCTTCAGGTATTAATTTAGATGTTTTTCCCTGTTGGGTCTCTTCTTAGGAAAGGAGGAAATGATGTGGAATGATGACTTTCTCAGTCCAAGCCCCTGATTGTTAGTTTTGACTTTTTTTTTTTCCCCCACTTCTGCAAGTACATCTTCCTGTATTTTCTTCAGTTTGGTGTGCTTCAATGATTAAAGGATTTTGCTTTACTTTCTGACACCAATTGGACATTATCTTCTTTTCTTTTTTTAGTATGTCTCATCCTTACTCTGGGATAAGCAAAAAGTGTTATACTATGATTAGTGGGAAGAATTCTAAGAAAGAATAGGTAGTAAGTTTTTTTAAAGATAGAAGAAACAAATGGTAGAGTATATGGTGCATAGAACGTTCTCAAGCTAGTTGTCACTCAGAGTGATCATAAATAAGAAATTTGTCTACTGGTGTTTAGGAACTCATTGGAAACCGCATCAGCTAAGTAACTGTATTACTATAAGAACTGAATGTTAAAAGATTTCATCTGAACCACTCACATGGACATAAGCCCAAAGAGAAAGTAGTTTCTTCATGTAATCCTAAAATGGTAAAAACAAGATAAATACTTGAAATAATATGTATTTTAATTTAAATCTAAGTGAGAAGAGAACAGGGAAAACAATGCTAATTGGTGCATGGACATGTTTATAACAATTTACACCTTATAATTATGTTATGGCTTTATAAAGTGACTATGAAACTCAGTAAAAAAAAAACTATGGAGATCAAATTCAGCATTTTGTTCTAATACATTGAAACAACCTTATTTGTTAATTAGGACAGTTTTTGACTGAGAACTTAAGATTTGTTACCCACTGCTAATCCTGCAAATGTCCAATATTATTTTTAATTTGTGTATTCATAAACATTCACTAAATATAGTCCTAGGTCTTGAGCATTTTCAATAAAAACTGTCAGTATTTCTCTTATGCCAAATTCCATATTTTCTGATTTGTGTTTTTCCTTTTTCTCTAGGAAACTGACTGGACATTCTTTCCACATGGGCTATAGCATGGCAATTTTGAATGGCATTGTAGCTGCTCTTACTGTGGCATGGTGCCTCATGTGAAACCACACTGGAGCTATATTTTGGCAAAATTGTGATTATTTTGTAATAACAGAAAAAAGAAAACATCGCCTGCTCAGAATACTAAGAAGTCATTATATGGTTCAGATACATATCATAATCGTCATCATCATGAAGGATCTTTTAAAACATCATTCTGGAGTCTAGGCATTGAAAATATCTTGAGCATTAAGTTTCGAATACTTTTTAAAAGTATAAGATTCTTACCTCATTCTTTTACTTTTGTTTGTGTGTTTCTTATAAAATATAGAAAACATTTTAATGGAAATCAAACTTGGACACTTGAATACAGGATAATGCCTACCTTTCCATGTATGTATATATATATATATATATATATATATATATATATACTACAATTTTGCTAAGAAATACTGATTAATTGAGATAGAAATATTTCTTTCTTACATATTACATTATGAAAACAAACTGCTTACTTTTCTGACATTTTATAGAAGCTACTTTTAAATAAAAATATTTAGTTTTTGATATTCATGTAATAGAATGTGCATTTATATCTTTTATAAGGCATAGTTCTTTATGTTTTTTTAACATATTTTCCTACTACATTTTGAATCTACATTTTTTTTTTAAATTATTGCATCTAGACAACTTTAAATGTTATTTCTTGGCTTGTGCAAAACTAATACCTGCCATTTATACTAAATATTTTTGTCTGAAACTAATAAGCACATTGATGTAAGTTTAAAATTAAGTAAATTTGTTTGTAAAAAAAAATTACTGAAAAGATAAACTATTTCAGTCATTAAACTATTAAGAATTTGAGACTATTCATTGTTTCTATTTTCCAACATTTTACATATTTATCTTGTTGTAAATATGGTTACTTCATCAGAACTTATTTTGTTTTTAATAAATGAAAACCTGAATTTTTTGTAGGTAGAAATATTTGAATTAGTATATTTTTTAATCTCAAAAATTTAGTTACCAAAGTAGAAAGGCTATGTGTGTGTAATAAAACTATATTTTATATAGACATAATGGATTATGTAATTTTATACTTTTGCTGTTTAAATGCTATTCAATAATTGTTTGTTTTGTTTTGTTTTCATAGTAATTAAGTCTTAATTGTTCCCTTTCTTACTAAACATTTAGAAAATCATCTCAATTTTAGAAAGGTGAATGATTTTTCAAAGATGTTTTCCCTGGCCATAGGAAACCACTGTGTAATCAAACTGCTTATTTAGACTAAGTGGAATGAATATGAGTACTGGATTCCTCTGCTGAATGTTATTGCTACGTAAAGAAGGATTCTAAAAGTGTTAACTCTTTTTTTTTCTTTTTTTTTTTTTTACTATTCAGAAATCTTTAGTTAGACATGACTAGTGCTGCTTCAGAATTTAAATTATCTGAAATGTTTAAAGTAATACAGGTGTTGGGTGTGTCTAAGTAGCAATCCTATGGCTTAAGTATTCCTACCAGTGTGGTTATTGCAATCAAAAATCTATTTTCAGTCCCTGTCTTCCTTCTTGCCTTCTTTTTCCCCCCTTTCCCTCTAAAGGGCTCTTCCATTGTGAACTAATGTATATGCAACAAAATTCATTTATCTTCTCTCCACTCCTCCAGCTCCAACCCTCACCCCTCACCCCTCACCCCCATCCCCTGCTACAAATTTGGATAGGTAGCTCCCTCTGATTCTTTGAGTCTAATAATAACTAAGAAAGTAATACAGTAGACCTTAAAGATGTACAAGATAATCTTTATTTAAATTTAGATACTTACAGAAATATCTATAAAATATTTCTTTGAAACCCTATTTATTCTGAACTAGCACGCCCCTTTTTGGGGGGAAGGGATTGCTTTTCTCTCTGAGAAAAGCAATTTGACTAAGTATAGTTATCTAACCCAAGCTGGGCTAATCTTACTTTCTAATCTTTCCTGACATTGTGGTTGCAGTAAGTACAGAGATGTGACTCAAATCAGCCAGTGTCTTTCCAAGAATTTTCAATGTGAAATTAAGGTATCACAGAGCTGGGAAAATACAAGCCCAAGAAATGCTGGCAACCATGGTTTAGCAAAGCTCAGAAAAGAATAAGGCTGACCTGGATACTGATAATGGCATTCTTGTGGTTCCTGAAAACCAGTGGCAATGCTACAATTTTTGTAATTTGATTGCATGAAGCAATTGTCATTTGCAAAAAAAATTTCAAAATGAGCTTAACTGGTATTGGAATCCATCTCTTATGAAATTGACTTAGATGATTTCATCTTTTTATGTGCAATATCACATTCAGTTACTTGGAAAGAATACATGGAGTATAGGTGAGCCTGTGGCTATTGATTGCTCTCAGTGATTACTGAAGAGTCTTGGAGTAAACAAACTAGTTCTAGTCTTGGTATTTCATCAGGAATTTATTTGTGATACAAAATTCAATTATATTTTGTTTATTATCAAAATATTACTAGGTATTACAAGATGTGAATCTAGTATAAGACAATGAGTTTCAAATAAGACACTGTTACATAATAACTAGTGTTTCCCAGTTTCCTTATATGTAAACATTAGAAAAAGCAACACCCCCCCACCCCCCACCTCCCCACCACCACCACATTACACACACAAACAAGGAAGACTGGGAATAGAAAAGGTAAGACAATCAATGAAGAAAAGTATCCAAAAGAATATATATATATGTAGTATCCATCTCAAAAGTGGGTTCATTGATAAGACTTCTCGTAAATCAGATTTTTAAAAGAATATATATTTTTTTAGTTGTAAGATGGACACAGTACCTCTATTGATTTATTTATGTGGTGCTTCACACATGGTAGGCAAGAGCTCTATCGCTGAGCACAACCCTACCCCCACTCCCACACCCCCACCCTAGTAAATCAGATTTAAAAGATTTTTTTATTTTCCCATTTCTGTTCATTTTTTGATTATATTATTTAGGGTCCTATATTTCAAACTATTTAAGGAAAAGATAAATTTGTTTGAAAGATATATTGATCAAATGTATTGCTATTTGCTGTCAGATTTGGTGGGCAGGAACCAAGAAAGTGTCAGAGTCAAGGAGGAGAAAGTGAAGATGTAACCATGATGGATGTCAGGAGTGTCTCAGGACAGAAGCTATGTGTATACCTGTAAGTCCTGAGTAAAAGGGTATTGAACAGTTATGCACCCCACAATAGATTGGGCTTTACCTCTGCTCAAATAAGGAAGATGTGACTCCAGGAGTGGGCGTCACCTGATGGGGTTGAATTACACCCACCTGTTCCTTTGTAATCCTACCCCTTTTCCCTTTTTGGGATAGAATGTTCCATGGAACCTCCCTTTGTGAGTCTTCTATATAAGAATAAAGAATTCCAGTGGCTCTCTCTTTTTCCATGGACCCCTAAGGTCACAGAACCATCCCCAGATTTTGAAAAGGTACTTGGTATTTCTGTGTGTTTGCATGCTTTCTTTGCTGTTTCTTAAGTAATTGGAATAGATTGTTGTGAACCCAGCATAGGTTGCTTGCTTAAATGGATCAAGATAGATGGGTTCGCTTCCTTGGTGTGTACAAAGTTAGCAACAACCAGGAGGTAGAAGTGAAGAAAGGTGTTATTGTTTGTAGCAAGTAAGGGGAACATGGGACAACTCTCAAAGCAGCGTGTCCTGGAACAAAGGAAACAAGGGACTTTTGCATATTCATACTGGAAAAACTTGTCATTGCATGCAGAGGCAGACACATTCTTGGGCATGTTCAGTCTGAGATCATGCTTTATACAGTGTTCCATGCACTTTTTCTTGTCTGAAGAAAGGGTCTTGTCTGAAACTAATAACTTAAAAGGATGTTAGCATCAGCAGTAGCTTTCTTTATAAGCAGATGCTTAATGCTGTAAGTTCCTGCCTGGCAACTAACAAAGGACTGATAGTGGGAATAGCCTGGTCAGAATGATGAGTCTTTTCTGCCCTTTCTTCTTGGGCTTTGGAAGATAGGTTCAAGGTTCATAGTCATCAGAGAGAGTTACCAGTTTACCAAAATTAGGTCTCATGCCTCATGTCTCTCAATTATCTTTTGTAATTGAAGGCAGCATCCAAAATTCTTTTGGAATGGGTGACTCATTATTAAGCAACTGAAAAAACAACAACAGAATTTTGCTATGCTTTACTCTTGGCTGGTCAGTGTCCATACATAACTTTCCTTTCATACTCAAAGTTAGAAAAGTGCTCATGTGTAAATGCAGCCATTGCATGCCTACATCTAATACCTAGACCAAGATCTTCAAATTATGTCCATTCTTCTACTTTTGCTATGTTCTTTGATAGTTTGCAAATTATGTTATCATTTTAATACTAAAGGATAGAAAAGAGATGAGAAATTTACATGTTACATATGACAGAGCAAGAAAATAAAAATGCTGTCCTATTTAAGCACTGGAAGGTCATGAGACCTTCCCTTTTATTTATTTTATTAACTAGTTTTCTTCCTTAACCTAGTGACCTGACACATCTAAGCTCTTGTTGGTTCATTTTTGCCACTGTGTATGGTAGTATAAGGACATTCCTCAGTGTCCTCAGTTTTTCCTCTATATTCCTCCTTGTTCTCATTGAGTAGCAGTTACTGTATTATAAGGTTAAGACACCAAATTTACCTGAAGGTTTTTTTTTTTTGCTTGATTATCCATTGGATAAAGAATATAAAATTACCATGTGGCAGTTTGAATTCTTTTGAACTCCTTTCTCCAATACTAAAATCTTTAAAGCTTCACAGTCCAGAGTCAGAGAAAAAGCAAAAGGTTTATGAGTGGGTCATATGTAACAGAGGCATTAGCCAAATGCCAACCTCTTGGTTCTTGGATCTATGGTTTATAACCCATGGGACAAAGAGCATGAAATAGAAGTTGCTGGATAAAAACTTATGCTGCAGCAAGAATAGACCCCTAACTTTAAATCTTTCAACTAGCTTTAGAACTAAGTTTTTAGTACATTATTTTTGTGTTTAAAAACAGCAGCTGAAAATAAGAGATGTCAAAAAAAAAATCTTACCTCTTGTAGTAAGTTCATTGACCAAGCATGTTGTGGAAATCCATGATTATGTATAAATTATTAAGTAAATCCATAAATAGTGGTGCTGCCAGAGATGGAAGTAAATCTAAGACTAGTAAGGACAAAGGTCGTGTAGTGCTACTCCTTCAAATGCTATTAATTGAGTATCCAGCAGCTGACTGATTGCCCAAAGATCATGTTATCAAGCCTTATTATTTTATTATGATGTCTTTTTTAGACTTTATTATGTACATATACCTAGACTGAACTTTACACTTACCAGGTACTTTGTAATTATTTTACCAGGTACTTTGTAATTATTTATAGCACTTATTGAACATCTAATCTATACCTAGAATTGCAAATTCTTTTAGGGAAATTTTTTTGGAAAAATGGCTTTATGTCTTGTGAATCTAATTAATATGTAAGTATATAACAATAAAGCTTACTGTAAACACCTAAGTAGATATTTTCCACACTAGTACAAATATCTGTTTATACAATACTGAAAAATTTTTAAAACTCTAAAAAGCTAAATGGAATATTTAAGCTGGGCATGGTGGTATATGCCTATGGCTCTGGAGGGTCACAAGTTCAAGTCCAGCCTGGACAACTTATACCCTGTCTCGAAAAAAATTTTTTTAAAGAATATGTAATAAATGTGATGTTTAAAACATTTTTATGTCCTTTTAATCTAATGCTACTGGACTGAGCAGATAACTGGTGTGACTAAGGGACATATAATTTATTCATATTTTCATAAATTAATGTCAGAACAAGCTTCCATAGTATTTTGAATTATTTACTCCCTAGTATTGTGCAAAATAATGAGTCATTTTTCTGTACAGAAGTGTCTAACAATATGAAAAGTTTCATCAAAATCAATGCTTTTATTTCAGCTGAAAAACTTGTTTCAGAGATATAATTAATCTATGGGAATAAAAGCTCTGGAGAGTAATGAAGAGTTGTTTTGTGTTACTGCTATGAAACATACTGAAATAGATGAACTATTAGTTCCTAACATTTACCCTTGTAGCCTTTTCTTTCCAGCAAAACTTAATGAATGCTGTTTCCTTGACACTTTTTCCCTAGCTCCTCCCTCTATTCCCAGAAATCAGCTCTATTTTACCCTTACTAATGTGGAATTAATTGCTGAGTTTGATCCGTCCTGGGCTCACTACACTCATTTTCCTTCCTTTAGAAAAGAGAGGAGGAAAAACAAAAAAAAAAAGTAAGACAAACCACAGGGTGGCTTTAGGTTAGCCCCAGGGTGAACCCGATATTTAATTCAGTGTAGTATGCCAGGGAAGACATGAATTCCCAGAGAGTTCAAAATTAAAATCTTGACTACCCCAAACCTTTTGTAGGTATTGGCTTTGCTGCTGAAATTTTTTGCCTTTTTTTTTAAGTAAGTACCATGTTAAAATCTGTCAGCACGATTTATATTTCAAAAAAATAGGAATTTATGTATCTATTTTATCTAGACAGAAAGTAATTACTACTTCTAGGCAGGTTATAATCACTTATAATTCTTAGTGCTGAACAAATCTTCCTAAGGTGAAAGTTAATATGCTGAATCTGAAAGTGTAATGACAGTATAATTTTCCATTATGCATTAAATACAGCTAATACCTCCACTGTTGGATGTTACAAGTTCCTTCTGATACAAAATATAAAGTGTTTGACATTTATTCTAAATTCTTATATGGAATTATACTTTCAGATTGAGCAAATTTCCATTTGTGTTCAAGTTGGGAGAAACAAAATGAGAATCATACTTTTAAATATCATGAAGGCATCCAATAAGAAACATTTTATATTACTGATACAAGAAATTGTTTTATTTTGAAAGACCTAGAGTGAGTCAAAAAAGTTTTGTAAAAAATCATTCTTGATAAAATTTTATCTTAATCTCATGGCAAGTATAAGCAAATTTTTAAAAATCCTGGAAATACATTTTGTAAAACAAAATCATTAATAGTTTCTATTTCTCTGTTTCCCAATAAGAAGTGAATTTTTATTTGGGGGAAGTGTCTCAGAAATAGAGTTAGTGAGTAAAAGTTTATTATAAATATATACATATAAGGAAAATATTTTCAAAGGGAAAACTCAGAAATTTAAATAATTTCAGTAATTTATAGCTACTCCAAACTGGAAGACACATCTAAACAATGAGAATCTTAAGTAATTGTAAAATTCTTAATAGAACTTTTAAAAAAATAAATCCTATGATATAATAATTTAAAGACTATATCCTCCCACTCTCACAATGAAATATAAACAAAAAAGACAGTTTTTGATGTCACTAAAGCTAAATGTCACTAAAGCTTTTTGATGTTACTAAAGCTCTTACTGTAATGTGTTATGTCTATATAGTCCTGTGTATTGAGTATTTTTGTGATAATACAGAAAATAGTATGTAGTAAATGGATAACATGAAGCTAGAGGAGTATACCTAGTCAAATATCTGAAGGCTTGGTAGAAACAAAGTGGTAAGTGAGTAATAAGACATTCTTTTGGTTTGGTCATATGTGTTAGAAGCTTCGATCTACTAATTCCACTTCTAGGTTTATAGCCTAAATAAGTAATATAAAGCACAGAAAAATATCTATACCCCAAGCATTCTTTTTTTTTTTTTTTAAAGAGAGAGTGAGAGAGAGAATTTTTAACATTTATTTTTCAGTTCTCGGCGGACACAACATCCCCGTTGGTATGTGGTGCTGAGGATCGAACCCGGGCCGCACGCATGCCAGGCAAGCGCGCTACCGCTTGAGCCACATCCCCAGCCCCCCCCTCCCCCCCCCCAAGCATTCTTTACAGTGGGAAATAATGAAAGAAAACTAAAAGACCAATAGCATGTCACAAAAACACAATGGGATATAAATTATGCAGCATGTTAAAAGTGGTAGCTCTCAAGAGGAGAGACAGTAAACATTAAGATATAACATTAAATTAAAAGCAGGATATGGAATTGTGTATAGCAGAATTTAAACTATGTAACTGCACAGAAAGAAGTCATAAAGGGAATTTTTTAGAATAAAAGCTTCTAGGGCTGGGGATGTGGCTCAAGCGGTAGCGCGCTCGCCTGGCATGCGTGCGGCCCGGGTTCGATCCTCAGCACCACATACCAACAAAGATGTTGTGTCCGCCAAGAACTAAAAAAAATAAATATTAAAAATTCTCTCTCTCTCTCCTCTCTCACTCTCTCTTAAAAAAAAAAAGAATAAAAGCTTCTAGAATTCAGCCAAGTATAGATAAAAAATTAACACACACCAATGACTGAAAGAGAAATTAGGAAAACTATCCCATTCACAATAGCCTCAAAAAAAAAAAAAAGAAAAAAAGCTTGGGAATCAAGAGATGAAAGTCCTCTATAATGAAAACTACAGAACACTAAAGAAAGTAATTGAAGACCTTAGAAGGTGGAAAGAGCTCCCATGTTCATGGATAGGCAGAATTAATATTTTTTTAAATGGACATACAACCAAAAGTGCTATACAGATTTGATGCAATTCCTATTAAAATTTCAATGATGTTCTTTATATAAATTGGAAAAGTAGCCATGAAATTCATTTGGAAAAATAAGAGGTCTATAACAGCCAACACAATCCTTAGCAAGAAGTGATGCAGGAAACATCCCATCACCAGATCCTAAATTATACCACAGAGCTATAATAACAAATATATCATGGTACTGGCACAAAACAGACAAGAAGACCAATGGAACAAAATAGAAGACAAATAGAGACAAACCCACATAAATGCAGTTATCTCATACTAGATAAAGGTACCATAAACATGCATTGGAGATAAGAGCCTCTTCAGCAAGTGGTGCTGGGAAAACTGGAAATCTATATGCAACAAAATGAAATTAAATCCCTAGCTCTTACCATGCACAAAACTCAAAAGTGGATCAAGGAACTAGGAATTAAACCAGAGACTCTGCCCCTACTAGAAAAAATTTAGCTTCAACTCTCCATCATGTCAGTTTAGGAACAGACTTCCTCAACTAAACTCCTAAAGTGCAAAAGGTAGAATCAAGAATCAATAAATGGGATTTCATCAAACTAAAAATCTTCTTCACAGCAAAGGGAACAGTCAAGAATGTAAAAAGAGTGCCTACAGAATGGGAGAAAATCTTTGCCACCTGCACCTCAGATAGAGCATTTATCTACAGGATATGCAAAGAACTCAAAAAAACTTAACACCAAAAAAATCCCCCAAATAACCCAATCAATAAATGGGCAAAGAGACTGAACAGGCACGTCACAGAAAAAGAAATACAAATGGTCATCAAATATATGAAAAAATTGTTCAACATCTCTAGCAATTATAGAAATACAAATTAAAACTACTCTGAAATTCCATCTCACTTCAGTCAGAATGGCAATTATCAAGAATATAAGTAACAATAATGTTGGTGAGGATGTAGGAGAAAAGGAACATTCATACATTTCTGGTAGGACAGCAAATTGGCTCAACTACCTTGGAAAGCAGTTTTGAGGTTCCTCAGAAAACTTGGAATGGAACCACAATTTGAGCATCTTATCTCGCTCCTTGGTCTGTATTCAAAGGACTTAAAATCAGCATACTTCAATGATGCAGCCACATCAATGTTTATAGCAACTCAATTCACAATAGCTAAGCTATGGAAACAACCTAGGTGCCCTTCAGTAGATGAATGGATAAAGAAAATGTGATATACACACACACACACACACACACAATTACTCAGCCATAAAGAAGAATGAAATTATGGCATTTGCCATAATTGGTATTTGTAATTCAATTTGGTAAATGAATGGAATTGGAGACTATTATGCTAAGTGAAATAAGCCAATCCCCCAAAACCAAAGGCTGAATGTTCTCTCTGATAGGCAAATGCTTACACAATAAGGGGGTGGGAGGGAAGAATTTCACTGAATCAGAATAAAGGGATGAGAGAGGCGATGGGAATAGGAAAGACAGTAGAATGAACTGGACATAGCTTTCCTATGTTCATATATGAATACATGACCAGTGTAACTCCACATCATGTACAATCAAATGGGAAGTTATATTTCACATATGTGTAATATGTCAAAATACATTCTACTGTCATGTATGTCTAAAAACAAAAGTGAGATCTGTAAGATACTGAAAATGAAGGTATCCATAGTATAACTTTAAGTGAAAGCTAGATTGTTAAAATTTTTATGTCAACCTGGCTTTATCAAAGATAGAATAAAAATAAAGTCTTATACCATGGTATTTTTTATATTTATTTTTAGTTGTATTTGGACACAATACCTTTATTTTATTTATTTTTATGTGGTGCTGAGGATCAAACCCAGGGCCTCCCTGGGGCTAGGTGAGCATTCTACCACTAAGCCACACCCCAGCCCCCCTATACAGTAGTATTTTAAAGTAACTCAACAGATGACATATAGTGGAGTCTCTAAAACTCAAGAAAAGCCTACCAGGCCCAACTATTTTTAAGATTTTTTTTTCCAGTTTTCACACTGGAAACTAGGGCCTCCTTCCTGCAGGGCAAGCACTCTGCCACTGAGTTATATCTCCAGCCCTTTTCAAAATGTTATATTTTGAGACAGAGTTTCCCTAGGTTGCAGGCTAGGCTTGAATTTGTGATTCTCCAGCCTCAACCTCCAGAATAACTGGGATTAAAGACTTTTTATGATTGTTTAAAAACAATGTATTTTAGATGTATTTATCTCTGACATTGTAAGAGACCAGTAATTTATTAAGAATAATAGAGAAGGATCTGGGGATATAGCTCAGTTGGTAGAGTGCTTGCCTTGCATGCACAAAGACCTGGGCTCAATCCCCAGCACCACAAAATAATAATAATAAAATCTCTCAAAACTCTCTGGGTTTAGAAAAAAAGGAATGCATTATGTAAATGCCTTGGAATTTCTCAGAAAAAAAAATGAAATGAAAAACCTTTGAAATGGTCTCTGA